CCCCCCCCCCCAATATTCTTGATCTGTAGTTGGCTGAATCCATGGTGCGGAACCTGTGGATACAGGAGGCTGTATGATGAGCGGCCTGGGGTCGTGATCCCGATGCCCTGTCTGTAATCCTTCCTAGTGAAATCTGCAGCTATCCAGTTAAGATTAAAGTAACTTTTTTGTTTTTCTGAATAACCGAAATGCCTGAGATTATACAGAGCAAAGCATTTCAGTAGAGAGCCAAAAGATAAGAAATTGAACTGGGGGTAGGGAATAGTTCATTGAAAGCCAAAATAAAATATTCTCGTATATTTCTTGGTAATGAAGACTTAACTGGAAGGAAGGAAAGAAAACGTGATCTAATTTAATTGGCACACTTGGCCTGGCCTTAGGAGAGTGTGTAGTATGTTATTATGCTGGTGATGTGTGTTTATCCCAGCAGAGCCTTCCTGCCTGTCATCCTTGTGGGTATTGGCTGGAGTGTCTGAGGCAGAACCTCTGTTTGTGTTCTCTCGGGAGACATGACAGTCTTGAACAGCATTGTTGGGGTTTGTTTCTATAGATAACATTGTTTATTAATGGTTTGTTACCGTTGTCTTTGAGATTTCTGCCTGTTAAGATGGATGGTTTCTGGCCCAGCCAGCGTGGCTCAGTGGTTAACATCGACCTCTGATCCAGGTGATCTCGGTTCGATTCCCTTTGCAGGTTTGATGCCCAGCAGGGGGCGTGGAGGAGGCAGCCGATCATGACTCATCATTGATGTTTCTATCTCTCTCTCCCTCGCCCTTCCTCTCTGTCTCTGAAATCAGTAAAAACATATTAAAAAAAAAAAAAAGATGGATAGTTTCTGCAAAAGCAGTGTTAATAATACAAGCGGAGGTAAAGAGAGCAGAGATACCTGGGCCCTTGCCCTCCACCCAGTCTTGGCTTTAGTCTTCCCCCATTGGTCATGTTTGTGGTCCTTCCTTTCCAGAGACCACTAAGTAAATCAGACAACCTATTTTGCAAAATGGGCAAAGGTTCCTTCTGATCACAAGAGACATGCAAGGAGACATTAATTCTTGTCTTACTGGACCCTTTGGATTGCTTCATGTTGGTGAATTCTAGTTCCATAGCTGGACTGAAAAGTGGGTGCATATCTAACATGTACAACCAACATGGCTTTCTTCCCCCCGGCTCTTGAAATACTCAACTATGCATTTTGCAACTTGTTTGTGGATTGTGTCAGAAATAGATTTCACAATTGAATGAAGGAACATACCTTGGAACGTGTTATGTTGTATTTCATTTTGAAGAGTTTATAGGCTTGTTAGAGTAAATAGGTTATAAAATTTCATCTGAGAAGAACATACTCTTTGAGCCAAGGTGACCCTAGTCTGATACTAGAGCGTGTTTTCTTAACCACTAACATGTGCTTTCTCTCAGCTTCTCTGTTCTAGTAGCATCTAGTGCACTCACAGAGATAACAGATACTTCGTGATCTTTTTTGATCAGAAATTAGTGACTGAGACGACATAAAACTGTATAAAGGATCTGAAGACATCATGTCAATGTCCAATGTCAGGAGAAAGGGCTCTTTAAGTGCCATTTTGGTTGTGAATACAAATAAGGGAGGGCTGGGGCTTCCTGTGAGGGTTTATGTCTAAAGTTAGCACATTGTGAGCTTGGCAAGTAAAAAACTATATGTTATCACCCCAAGTCTCCCAGAATTATTTTGCAAATGCTGCTTTATGTTTGTTTTTTTTCTTAATTTTTTTTTTTTTATCATGGACAATTTCAAGCATATACATAAACAATAGTATTAAGGATTCCCTTTGTCCCATGGGCTCATCACCCAGCTTCAGTAGTTATCAACATTCTGCCATGCATATAACAAGCTGGTTTTGGTAGTTAATAAACTCTTAGGTTGGTCTCCCTAATGAACCAGTCTCATATGGAACTTCTTTATGATTGGTTCACAAAGCCGTGACGGGCATTCCAGCCCTGAGTCTGGTACAGCAGAGCTCTGAGTGTGCAGTTATAACACACTTCTTAATGCTTGTTTAGTCTAGTTTCTTAATGTGCTAAATAACTTTTAAGTGAGGGTGGAGCAAGTGCTATTCTGTACTTCTTCAATGGCCACTGAATGA